CCCATTCACAACGGAAAACAAGTTTACAACTGACTATTCCTCTTTCTTTTTCTCTTTCTATATACATACATATATATATATATATATATATATGTGTGTGTGTGTGTGTGTGTGCGAGCGCGCACGTCTGCGTTACATGTGTATAAAATGGACACATGCATAGCAAATGTTTCCTGGTTTCTTTGTAGACAAATTATTTAAAAGCATATGGGCATACAATACCCAGATGAATGTTTATTACGGTGTTATCAATTTTCCAGATTTTTTTGATTTTCAGTTGAACCTAAGTAGCGCTTCCCAATATATATCTCCTGCAAGTCTTTCTCCGGCAGCTCGTAGCAAGTCTCTGGCAGCATTTTCTGACCACCTGCACCGTCGAACAGCCGAGCTCTGATTCATTTTCAGAACCTATTTGTAGATTCCTCTTCTTTCATAGCACGAACAGAAAAGCTGAAATTGGTCTTTTTGAGATGATACAAATTAGGGAGAAGAAAGACAAGAAAGAGGACTCTTTTCAAGTCTTTCTCAGGTAGTCCACCCTCCTCATCATCACCTCCATCTCCAACTACTTTGATCTTTACCCATATTTCAATTTTTTAAAACTACATGGACACATACTAGAACCAACCACCATAATTTTGTGCTCTCCACTCAAAATCAAAGAAAACCTAAACCTTAATGTGAATCGAAGAAAACCGAAACCTGATAGTGAATCCACAAATTGAAGAGAACCCAAACCCATTTAGAAGGTGTAATAGATCAAAGCCAATCATGGGTGTGTGTATACAAGATATGGTGTACAAGTAGTTGACAGGAGATGGTGAACAACCATCTTCACTTTCACACCATTTCCACCTTCACCTCATGACGGACTCATGAAACTTTTCAAATGGTGACACCATATAATTATTATAATATAATATAAATCCAAAAATAACTAAAAAAATATGGTTTTATAGGACCGATAAACAACTCATAAACTTGTACCCAACGCGTCTTCATCGTTTGAAACGGCCAATATACACCCAAAAGATGAAGACACATATACTCTTTTTCTATAAAAATATGGGTGTATATTGGCCGTAGATGTCAAGTTCGTGCTCAAGAATGATCATTTCCTGTCTTCAAAATCACGTGGATACATCTAACTCAACTTCAATAGACTTGATTTGTTAAACTGAGAAAAAGAGTTGCGTGGATTCAAAGCTGCCATATTTTGAAGCAAGTCGGTGCTTATCTCACAAAAACGATCACCAAACTCTTGAATCTGCATATCCAAAACAATGTTAAATATATTATAGTTATAATAATATTGATTGTTAATGTTCATCCTTTTCCTTGGATTTCTTGTATTAACATAACCTTCAGCTATATCCAACTTGATGATCTTATGTTTATCACAAAAAAGTAGCATTTCTCCAAAATTTGATCAAACTATTTTCTCTCAACATTTGTAATTGACCTTTGGTTGTTCCTATCAAATCAACAACTTCCAAGATATCTTCATCTTTCCTTTGAAGAGCTTGAGACCAAGAATTTGTTAACCCTAAGATGGTTGATATTAAGTGCATATAAAACACAAATTCAAATGTCTTGAAGTATGATAAAAGACCTCTTGCTTGAAGCCGACTAGCTCCATTATCACCATCATCTTCGACATATTCAAGAACCTTTATAACCTCTCGAAACAAATCAATCAAACTCACGATTGTTTTAAGATGAGAATTCCGTCGTGTATCTCCAGCTCGTACAAGGGAAATCTCTTGGTTTAACCCCTTATCAGTCTCAATCCATGTCTTGCAAATAAAACATCCAGGCAGATTTAAAACTTAAAGCAGATGTATCCATCACATGAACAACGCCGACAAATCTTTTCTAAACAACTCCGACTTTGTCAACAAACCTCAAAACCACGACCAATTGTTCTTTTCTAGAGACATCGCTAGACTCATCCACCAACAAAGCAAATACATCATCACCAGTTTCCCCAATAATTAATTTCAACACTTCTTCAACAAGTATTTACAAACTTCAACGAAAGCATTCAATCGCATGTGATACTCGGTCTTCATGAGTTTTGTTTTCTTATGAAGGGAAACAACAATTGATTTGTTTTGGTTAACCAAATCTTCACATTTTTTAAGTGCTTTATGTTGAAAACTATTAACCTCACCCTTATAAGCATAAGTCTTTCTTTTTTAATCCAACTAATGAATCCCTCTGTCACAAATGCATTTGTCCCATGATTCCCACCTTGATCTCTGAATAAGTAATAAGGCAAACAATATGCTCTATTTATTTTTACACTGTATTCCAACCATTGAAATTGATCAAACCAAGTAACAACAAACCGTCTTGCTTTAGACCCTATAACTTTGGTTGGAAAGATGTGACCTCGTGGTTGACATGGGCCTCTAATCAAGTATTTCCGTCTAATTTCATCTCTTTAATCTGGGTTATAAGTTATAATTTTTGGTCTCTCTGATGGATCCCAAAGAAGATTGTTAACATCAATCACATTGTTGGATGCATTATTATCGGTTGATGAAGCTTTTCATTTCAAAAACTTTTCCATATCAAGTCATCAACACTAAGTAATGAAGCAATGATCAWGTWATCAGTAATGTAAATGGTAAAACTATAAAATGTAAATTTGTTATCAACACTAAGTAATGAAGCAATGATCAAGTAATCAATCATCAAGAGTCAAGACATCTAAAATGTAAAATTGTATTGATGATTGATCAAGTAATCAAGAGTAACGACTAACGAGTAATCCAATCAACATTTGAACATCATCAACTAAACTAAGTAATCAACTAATGAACTAATGAAGCAAACCAATGATCATTGATCAATTGAAGTGAACATCATCAAGTGAGATCCTTTCCAATGGTTGTGTTTCGTCTTTTGTTGCCAACAAACCATCATTCTTGTTAAAAAAATGACAGAAAGAGCGGTTTTTTGGATTTTTATGACAACAATTGTTAGCTTGCAACAAAGGCCGAAATCTAATTCAAAAATTGAAAAACCTTCCAAGAATCAAACAAAAACAGTAAGCTTCAACAAGTTTCAAAAGCACATAAAGATGATCATTTGCCTATTGGCATCAACTAAAGTACTAAACTAGTAATAAAGCAAAGCAATTGCCTATTGGCATCAACTAAAGTACTAAACTAGTAATAAAGCAAAGCAATGTTTTGACAAAATCGAAACCATCCATGCCAAAAATACATAATATTTGGCATTCTCCATCCATGATCAAGATTAATCAACTAAAACTACTTAACTACAACTAATTACTAATGGTATAGATGTAAAATTGTATTGGTCAACAGATAAGTAATCAAGATTAAGAGTAAAAATGGATACCTAAATGGCTAAATCTAAAAATAGAGACCAAATAGCACTGTAGCAAGTGAGAATCGTTCGATTTTCGAGAATCGTTCGAGAATTGCCACTCGAGAATCGTTTCGTTTTTGTCTCCCTCACTCGACACTCCGTCTCTCGCTCACCGCTGTCTCTTGTTTGTTCTCGTCTTGGCCGACTACTTTAAGGGCTATTGAGCTAAGGCCTTTGTTTGATTAATTGATTTGATTTGGGATTTCAAAGTTTCAAGAATTGGCTTTGTATTTTAGGCTTTTGATTTGGGCTTTGTTTTATTTGGATTTCAGACTTCAGTTGCATGATTTGGGTTTCAGGAATAATACGGTAGCACCTTCTAAAACGATATGTTTGCAATGTTCACGAACCTAAATTTTTACTCTTCGACGAAGGAATAATACGGTGGCACGTGCCACCTGTGCCACAACATTGGGTCCGTCCATGCTTCTCCTCCATTGATTAACAACCACAACAGAAAGAAAAACAAAATAGTTGATTTATAGAAACGAAAAACAAAAACCAAAATGAGGCTTAAATCGAATTTGTTTGTGTGTATATTTCAAATATGTTTGTAAATCAAAACGATACGATGCCGAGGATGGTAGTGGATGTTCAATGAAAATATAGGAGAGCAGAAGTAGAATGAGGGGGAGAGGGAGGAGACCAACCTTAGGGTTTTTTGGCGGTAATGGTGAGTAGCCGAAAAGAGGGGGGTAATGAGTGACCGGAAAGGATGGAGTATGAAGAGCATCGACTATCTGTGTGTGTGGGAGGGGGACGTTGTAGTGTCATTTATATATACATATATATAATATAAAGTCATATTCATACGAGAACAATAACCAAATAAATCACATGTGATTTTACACTAAAAGCACGTGTAAAATCACATGTGATTCATGCTACTTTGGCCGCGACCTGAGGTCGGGGGGCCAGGACCGTGTTCTGTAATATATCGTATGTAAAATCATATGTGATTCGACCGCTTTCTTGTTATATTAATTGGGCTATTTTCTCGTTTGATCCTCCCTTATAATGTATATAATATTATATCAATGTGTTCACAATGTGTTTACAAATTATAATAATAAAAAATGTTCACAACGTGTTTACCTTATGTATATATTTGATTGTGTATGTACATATATATTATGGAGAGAGGAAAGAAAAGAGATGAGAGAGAAGATAGGAGAGATAATCTATAATACCTTATTAAGAAAATTTAGTAAAAATCTTAAAGTCTTAAAAATATAAATGACCAAGATACCCTTATCTATCTATACTATCTTAAATACAACTTTAGATGCATAATGTACTACTTTTTAAAGCATAAAGTCTTAAAGTTTTAATTATAACTTTAATAGCCTAAGTTACAACTGCACTGTGCATAAAAGACTTTTACCACTCAGATTCATACCCACCCGGCCACCGGTGACGATTCAAGGCTACGATTGCTTTCTCCAAGGTGACGATTGTTTTTCTCCAAGACGACGATTCAGCTTTTGATGCAGGTCTTATTTGTGTTATTGCTACTTCGCGTGCGCCTGTGCTCCATCGATTTAGAGTTTTTTTTTCTCTCTTCTCATACCATTTTCAGGTAAACCATCTATTTCTTTGATTTTTTACCACTCAGATTCATACCCACCAGTGACGATTCATACTACGATTCCCTTTTACAACTCAGATTCAAGACGACGATTCAGTGACATATGGAATTCGGAGGAGCCTAAAGCCTGGCCTCTGTTTGCCGGTTGAGCAGATCCTCAAGGTTTGGACTATTTAGAGGAGTTGGAAATGCTAACTGTATGTAATATTTTGAGATGACACGTTTATATTCGAAGCCGAGAGAGGGAGAGAGAGAGAGAGAGAGATCTTATATGTTTATTTTTCGTCAAACATTTAAATACTAAAGGAAAGGTACTACATAACTCTTGTATCTACCTTGTACAGAAGTGTTGTGCACAGAGAGGGGGATTATCACCGAGTTGTTTATGTGTGGATTTTTGCTGAAAGTACACAAGAACTTTTTCTCCAATGACGTGCCGATTGCAAGGATTCGTGGCCTGGATTCTGGGATATCTCCAGTGCAGGTCATGTATCTGGTGGAGATACATCGCTAATCACTGCTAGGTAAATTATGGTTTTGACTGGAAGTAACTGATTAACAACTTAATGTGCTATTAATGTTAATGGAAGTAATTGGTTAACAACTCAATTTCTAGTATTTGAGAGGCAAGAATTGCTACATAGTGTATAAGCCTCTCTTCCATCTTATGTGCTTTTCATGTTAATTCCTCCCATTTCCAATTGGAATTTGCGACCTTAGGTTAAGATAGTATTTAAGCATATAGATAGCCCATGAAATTGTTGCTATCCTAGGATACATTGAACAGACTTAACAAACTCAAAAAATTACACCTATTGGTTGTGCATAGTTAAGCATTGTTAAATAGAGTATAAAATTCAGTATCTTTTATTGAATATTTGAGAGGTCATGAAAGGGAAATAATAGAGCGAAAATGTTGTGAACCACTAGAAAGAACAATGATGCTTCCAAGTTTCAGTGTCTGAACATATATTTCAAGTGTCAATGCCATCCATTCCAAGCTCATAGTTATACAGACCTCACCACCAACAAAATGAGTTGGCACCAAACCAAACACATGAATGTGAATTAAATAATTTCTCAACAACCTTTCAAAGTATTAAATTCCACTTTTGTTTTTCAAAATCAAGATTTTTTTAGTACCCAGAACACAGTTTCGTTCATTTCTGTCATCATTCCTGAAAATAATTAAATATAGTATTCTCTGTAGATGAGAATTCAACATTTCAAAGGTGGGTTATGGGTTATCTCACAAGTCATTAGGCTAACCAATGTAGGATTCTCATAAGATTGATATTTGAACTGTTCACATTCTGGTGCTTTTGTGAAGATGGATTTTGGATAACATTTTAGGAGGTATTTGTGCATTGAAGCTTTCAAACATATCATACATGCACTAGGCTAATCTGTCAAGTCTTTCTGACATCATTCTTGGAAAATTTGGCTTATGACAAAGACTGCCAAGTCTCTCCAATTGCCTTCCGGTGTGTTCTTTCTGCGAACTCATATGATCCCAATCTATTATGTTTATTTTCTATTTGATAGTAGTTTTCTGAAATAAAATTGCTATAATATTTTAACATGATAGAGGCGATTTGAAACCGTAGTTGTTGTACATTGTCTCTTTTGCTGAAAAGTAAGACAATCAAACAAAAATTGCTTTGGTGATTCTGATTAAACATATACATCAATACATATTGACTAACCTATATATAAATAAATAAATATATATATATATATATATGATATAGTCATCTTCATTATGATAAGGATCTTGAAAATCCTTACCCTTATTGTTTATGTTTTTGAACTTCAATATTCTTTTGTCATAAGCTTATTCCAAACCAAATGTGTTCATTGTTACATGTATCATAGAAGTACTTTCTCTTGTACATCTTTTGATAATTTCTTGCTCTGTTAAACTTTGCTTTTGGAGGCATTTTAAATGATGCAACATTTGGGAAGGCTTTTTGTAGTTTACCATGAATACAACTCAAGTGATCCTAATATTAGAGGAGTATTATTAAGGGTTTGACTACAATGGAAGTGAACAGAAGCTTGACCAAATCCTCCTAGAGAATTAAGAACCATGTGCTCTATGGTGAAGAGTGGTGTCATTTCTGCTATATTTTGTTGAATGAATGCACATAATCATCAGGTGGAGGGTTAGGGAATCGAAGATTTAGTCTACTACCACTTCTGGTGGAGTCTTTTTTGTTCCTTTAGTTCTTATTCCAATCTATTGAATTGTTCCTGTTAGTTTTTTCTGCCTATGTTTTATGTGAACATAGTATTCTTAGATTGTTGGTACATTTGTTATTTAGTGGTTGTTGAAATCTTTCTCTTTTGTAGGCCCTGAATCTCTTCCAAGTCAAGGAGCTTCGATTTACAGGTTTACATCTTCAGTCCATTGCTTATTTTTTATTTTCGATTGCAATTGATTGTTTGTTTGCCTCTACGTTTCATATATGTATAGCAATCGGTACCACAGTGTGTAGTGACAGAAAAGAATTCTTTTCAGGTTTGGGTGTCTCCTCTACAAAACCAAACAGCATTTCTGTGGAAGCCGCCCAACCAAAAGTTGTAGGGAAGCATTTGATTTTTTGTTTACATTTGTGTAGAAGGCCCAATCAACATTCGATTCTTTGCTTGCCAAAACTGGGAAAAACTTAATTTTTTTTAATATCCATATATCTTTTTTATGATGCTTTTGTCTCTTGGAGAGAAAGGGAAAAACACTTTTGTTTTGAGTCATTCCATACAACCAAACAGATTTGACTGTGATGCTTCATCATAGAGAAATGGAAATGAGAAGGTATGGTGTTCATCATCAAAATTTACACTAAAAGTTCATTTTTCAAAAGAACAAGTAGTCATGAAAACTCTGAGAGAAATATACACATACACATATAGTAGGGTTTCAGAAGAAGAGGGACACATACTTGGCATATATTTCAAAAGTACTTGGACAGCCGCTGCTCTCAAAGAAGAATGGTTCTGTTTTCAACTTACTGTCAGCAACAACCGCTACTCTTGTTCATCATCGAAACGTTGGTTGTCTTAATTATCTAATTTCACTTTTGGAGAATTGGGAATGCATGTACCCATTTCATATTTATTCTTATTTTTATATGCATGATTCCTTCATTTTTTTTAACATGTTTAAGTGTTCGTGTGTGTAAATGTTTGTCCCAATGGCTTACCATCTTTATTTATATGTGCTATTTCGCATGGTTGGCACACTTGAAACATTTCAGGATGGAAATCCAAATTGTTTTTAGAAATCCAAAATGTTTTTAGACAAATCATTCATGTTATGTGCATTTGGGTTCTATAAAGTCCATATGGTATTGTTTTCATTTCTGTTGGGTTTATACACTTGTTCATGGTTTACAGTTTGATTGTTTGAGGGATAGACTTTCTGAGTAGGCTTATTCAATCTTTTTTATTTTTGGATTTCAGAGAAGATATATCGTAGAAGTTGTGGCTTGATGAATGATTCAGGTAATGGGCTAAAATTATTTTTGTTGACATGATTTGATTTGGTTTATGTGCAATGACTTTTGAAATCTCGGCAGTAGAAATGCCCTAGGATCCGGTAAACATTTAGTGAATGGCCGAGTGTTACAACACTACTTATAGTTATCTAATGATTTGACAGTGGATTTAGGCAAATCCCTATCCCAAGAACGATGTACTTAACCAAAAACTTGGATATGATGTTTATTATCTTTTCATTTTCTCATATCATATAATATATTGTTTCATGTGTCCTTCAAATGATGAATGAGTACATTGGTTGATGTTGTGTTGGATTTATCGTGTTCAGGTGTTGAACCTTTGTAGTTGGTGGAATTCCAGGAAATTTAACATGAAGATGTATTTCAACGTGAAGATGTATCGGCGACTATTCGTGAATTGTTGATTGGTTTTATTTTTTATTATTTTCTTTAATGTTTAAATGTAAGAACTTTCTTTTAAACTCGTACCTACATAGATGCCAAATGCATGATTATACCAAATGTTTAAATGTAAGAGCTTTCCTTAATGTTTAAATGAAGCTGCTTGAACTGATCTGGGGATCTGGAGATTTCTTAAAGTTTATCTTTGTCGTCAATTTCTGACTTCTATGAGTATATTCATCATGGCCATCATTTCATTTTTGCTTTTGCAATCAACAAATTAGTCGCTTTCTTCAACTGCAACTTCTCTCTTTCAATTGGATCTCCAAGCGATGCTAAAGGTTTTGGAGTCTGTTGGTCGGATTGGTGCAGGGGCCAAGGTTTCTATGGTTAACTCCTCCTTTTTTACGTTTAAGACTTGGTTGAATCTCGTTCTAGAGTGCTCGTTCTATTTTTTTGATGGTTTCTTTTGATTGTGTTCTCTGTTGGGCTCGATTTCTTAGTCTTGTTGCACTTATTTGTGTAGGTCCGTTTTGTTTAGATTTTGGTTTATTTTGTGTTGTTTCATTTACGCCTTATGCAAAATTTTTTGTTTTTTCTTATATGTTTTGTGTGTTTTAGTTAAATTTTTTTGTTCCGCTAAAAAACAAGAGTAACATACAAAAGTCTTTTAATATACACACGAGTAACATAATAAAAATATAATACATGGATGGATCAAAATGACACATATATAATGTTCGTTTACGTTAGAATCCATTAAACTATATTTTTTTGAAATAAAGTATCAAACGTTAATATCTTTAAAAAAAATACATCTATATTTTTAGCAATTTTATTATCAAACTATTAAAATATTCAATACATCTAATAAGATATTATCGTTAATTCCTAAATACTTAATTTCAATGTTTCTATATTGGTGAGAAAGAATTAAATATTATTTATATCTCTTGAATATGAAGTTGTAGAAATAATTTCAAATTAGAAGATTTTTACCTTTTGTTCTTTCAATTATTTTCTCTATTTTAACATATGTTATAACATAGTTGTAGAAACAAAATTATACCTTAAATCTTCGAAATCTCTATTTTAACTAGGGGTGAGCATAGGCGGGTACCCGCCCTTTTTGACAGGAATCGGAACCGGAACCGGAACCGGCGGTTCTTCAGATATTGGAACCGGAACCGGTTAGAGCGGTTCTTAAATTTTTGGAACCGGAACCGGAACCGCGGGAACCGGTTCCGGTTCCGGGTACCCGCTTCCTAAAATATTAAAAAATTGTTATTTAGAAATAAAAAATAAAACATTGCCAAAACACTAAATAAATAAGTAAGAATACAAATTATACAGAATAATGGTTACAAATATTGATTAACGATTACAAACCATAATAGACTAATAGAAAATGTTCAAAGTTTAACGATTACATACTATAATGGTAATTGTTCAAAATTTAACGATTACATACTATGAATCCAAGTGAACACACAATTTGAAAAAATATGAATCATTTTATATGAAGAATTTAGATGAAGATTGAAGATGACGACGTGCTTTTAAGATGTAAACCTAATACAAATTTGGTATTAAAAAATAATAATTAATTTTTTTATTGAAAAATACCGGGTACCCGGCGGGTAACGGTTCCGAAAAATTGAGAACTGGAACCGGAACCATTCTCAATCGGTTTCGTATTTTAGGAACCGGAACCGGAACCACTCTTATCGGTTCCGGTTCTGGAACCGGCGGTTCCGGTTCTATAGCCGGGTACCTGGTTCCGCTGCTCACCCTTAATTTTAACATAACTGTTGAAGATGCTATTAGAAATTAAGTTTGAAATACTATATCAGTTAACTTTGAAAATCGAAAACTTAAAATTGTAAAAATGTAACTTATCTTTGATAGTAATTAATGATTTCTTACCACTAATTTGGTCATAAATATACAGATAATGCACAAGATTTTCCACGTTTAATAAAAAAAAAAATTTGGTTTCATGATTTTTTCAAATAATTGTAACTCCTCTCAACTATTTAATACTTCAGTTCTTCGTTACAATTAGTACGTTATCTTTTCATCAGTGTGATCTATACTTGCTCTTTTCACCCTCTAATATTTTACCTATTAAACAATAAGAGCCCTTTATAATTTAAATATTATGGGAACATGGTGATGGTACACATAAACTACTTTAAAAACTAGTAACGTTTTGATAGTTTATTGTCATTTTTTTTAATTATAATATTTATTAATATTAATTATAAATAAATATTTATTAATATAAATTGAAATTCAATTACTAGTTAATTTTAATTATACATTTATACTATTTGTTTATTAATTATTTGTAATAATTATTAAGCACATCAATTATTTTCATGTTATTTTTTTTAATTATTATTCAATATATTTAATTTATCATAACACATATAACAATCTATACTACCTTATAAACCAGATTTACCAAAAGTCTTAAATATATTTTTTAATGCACAAAGTACTATATATTTATGCACAAAGTCTTAAAAGTCTTAAAAACAACTCATAATGCATTAAGTACATCTACTTTATGCATTCGGTCTTAAAATCTCTTAATCTACAAAAAAAATAAAATCGGCTCGGGCATCACCCCCTCCTAACACCCTAAAAAGCAATAATAAAACTAGCAAGGTGCTAGAAAAGATACATAAGAGTTGAAATAAAGTTAACGGATTACATCCCCATTTAGACCAATCAATATTACATTTTGGTCTAAATTTAATCCAAGTAAAAAAGCATAGCTTGAGATTCCACCATCACTGCTTTCCACGAGAACCTTTTGTTATTGAAGATCACATCATTTCTTGCGTTCCATGTAAACCAAAGAATGCTCCCGATAAGTGCCTCGATCATTTTTCTTTGTTTCTTCGATTTGGCACATTCAATCAGATTGAACATCTGATCTTAATCTACAATTAAAATAACATATGGTACAAGTTACCAATTCACATTATTATTTTTTCTTTCATGTTCCCAATATACTTTTGACACCTTTCACTCATGTTTTCACCATCTCATACCCCTATGTCTTCTCCACATCCCCCAAAATGTGAGATTCAAAATGATATTCACCATGAGTTATTAAAGTCTTCCATTCATCTCTCGTTCAATTGCTCTAGATCTCTCGGTCTCGCTCTCGATTTCTTGATTATTTGCTCTTGGTGTAAATCGAACACATTTGTGTAGTCGTTTAAATATGTTGGATTTTAAATATATTGGATTTTAAACCGTCATACAGTTTTTTTCATTGATAGACTGTAGTTGGAACCATAACTTTTATTTATCTAAATTGTATTAATATATAAAGATCAAGTGTAACTTATATCATCTTAAATTTTTTCTAATAAAACCAATGAAATTTCAAAATCGTTAAATCACGGCTCACTCTGTATTACACAGATACACAACTAATATTTATGTAATATAAAAACACATAACTTATTAACTACTTTGCCAAACTTAACCTTATAATTGTACACTTTTAAGTTTTAACTCCCTTAATTAGGTAAGGTCTCAAACTTTGCTCCTTTTCTATAGTGTCATAATTAACAACTGGTGATTTTGATTAGCACCGAGTCCCGATATCAAGAAGATATATCTTCACGAAGAATCATGCACCCTCCTCTCACACGAGGGCATGATCATAATGATGATGGAGCACACTGCCATGAGTGTGTATATATAATATATATATATATATATATATATATATTTGAGTATGTATGTATATTACATGGCTGTTTACGTACACGCATATATAATAACATATTGTTTACTCTATAAAATGCATGCCCATGTAATTTCAATATTTGATTGATTAACCATCAATAGAAGTAATTGAAGTACTTAAATGGAATAAAATTTAATTTACTGTAGATATAAGAGGTGAATATACATGGTATGATGATATTAGTATTACATATACATCATATAAAATTAAGCATGCATGAATAATAAGCTATGGCGGTTGAATCAATGGGACGGCGAGCAGTCATTACTTATTAATTAATTACTTTCACATTATTATCAACAAATGAGCATTAAAAATATATAAACATGAATAAACTCAGCATTAAGTAACCATAATTACACTTTCTACCTACAATAGTCTTCTGCAATTCCTATATATTCTTTTTTCTAACTCTTTTCCCCTTCCTCCAACGTCTAACCTTCCATGCAGATTGAATGGAAAAAGACCCTGAAACTAAGTAAGCATGGAAAGTCGAAATTCTATGAGAAGTTGGTCAGTCCATGAAGTAAATTCTGCTGAAGAAGAAGATGTGTTTTCCTTTCCACACCAAATGCCTCCTCTTGATTTTGGGTAAAATTAATGAATTTCTGAAGAATGAAGAATCTTTTTGCTGCCTTCTCTTTGTTTTTTGTTGATCTTTTGTATGTACTTGGAGTAGGTTTCCAGAGGTAGGATGCAACGGTTATGATTTGCTGCCCATCCCACTAGACCAGCATCAGAATGGATTTGAAGGTTTTTCTTTGATGGACATTATCTCGAAGGATCCATTCTATGCATCCTTAGACATTGTACCAAGCCAACACAATTTTCTCCCAGGTTGTATCATTCTTCCATAGAGCTCACATTTCTTCTTGTTCGATCCTCTTATTTATGTTATTTGTAGATCCTGTGACTTGTGCTCTTGGAGATGATTTGGTGAATGTCTTTGGAATCAACAATGAGTTGATCAGTAACCAGAATCAAGAGACGCCCATGGTGAACTCATGTGGGTTTTCTGATCAAAACCAACCCCTTATGATAACTTCTACGGACGAGGAAAATTCTGGAAAGATTATGAAGAATAAGATGATGAATGATAACGAAGCTATGAAGGTGGAGGAGATGCTGGAGTTAGAGATGGAGGTGGCGGTTATAAGGAATCCAAAAGAATCGGAGAAAGAGAGAGTCGATCACAATGGCAATGGTAGTGGTTCTAGTTATACCTCCAAGATAATGTTAAGTAGGGAAACAATATCACAATATTTCTACATGCCAATAACACAAGCTGCGAAGGAGCTCAATGTTGGATTGACGCTGTTGAAGAAACGTTGTAGGGAATTAGGCATTCGTCGTTGGCCACATCGCAAACTTATGAGTCTTCAAACTCTCATCAACAATGTCCAGGTCACATTCCATTCTTTCTAATATTTTAATTTGAAGTGTTTAGTATAAATGGCAGATTCTTTACACTGTTCAATATCATATTTTTAGTTTGAAATGATTAATTTACATGGCACATGAAATGAAATGGCACAGCAGGAATTGGGTAAAGATACAGGAGAAAGAGAAGAAGAGAAGTTGAGGGAAGCAGTAATGATACTGGAGAAAGAGAGAAGAATGATGGAGGAGATCCCAGATTTGCAGCTTGAACATAATACCAAAAGACTGAGACAAGCCTGCTTCAAGGCCAACTACAAGAGAAGAAGAACGTCCACTTTGATATCAGCAACTGCTCAACGGCAATCATTGTCTTCATGTCCCACTACTAATTGCAGCATTAATCCCGCTGGTTATGGGCTCTTAGATGATGATTCAGGTCATTATGAAGAACAAGAAGAGATGAAGTCTATATTGTTTTCTGACTGCTTTCCTTCTTCGAGCGACAATATCTTTTAATTAAGACGGTATTTTCTTGAAATTGTGGACTTTAACTCACAATGGGAACACATATCTATCCAAAATTTGGATGTTTTTGTGTTGCCATGTGGACTTTATGCACAAATACAAGCAGCTGTTTGTAATTAGTATTCGTGTATACATTAAGGCTTAGGCAAAGACAAAAATGAGACGAATGTTACTGTACTCTATTGTCTTTTGCATGGCTATTAAGTGAAACAACTTAAAGTACAGGATCCATGGCTTCTAGCCATATCATGAGGCTAATCTATATCTATTTGGGATAATGATGGTTATGAACCATTAATTGGTTGCAGATGCTCTTTAGTCACTTTCGCAGCACATTACAATCATCATAAATCTTATATCTTTATTTTCTATCTAAACTATCAAGTCACAAAGTTAATAGCAAAAGTTCCAGAAAGCACATAATTACGAGTTGGAACATGAAACACACCAATTTAGCTGCATTCTTAATTTTGAAATATAAAAAACATCAATCTTTGCTGTAATATGCAAAGAAATAATGAAGCTAAGTTGATTATGTTGCTGCTATAATTTCGTTGGTTTTTGTTTATTACCTATTATATATAACTTATATTATTGTGTACAGAAAATACACTAATTGTATTCAGTTTGAAGTTTTATAATTTATATACATGAGAATTGTAATTGTCTCCTTAAAGTTCATACCAATTAATCGTTTGAATTTATCTGCCAACCTATTTATATAATTTTCGTGCTTAATTTTAAGATCATGTTCTCCCTATTGAGAGAAAGTGCATGAAACAAACAACTCCCCCATTAAACCTGTTATTATAGAGGTACAATACTTCATACTTGGCTCTAAAAGCAGAGAACAATATTAGCTATTTAACATACAAGAATGTGTTGCTTCAACAAAATCCACAACATGAATTCCAGACTTGAATATACAAAGGTTTATTTAAAAACAAATATCAGCTGATAATTTGTGTTACATGATTGAACTTTGCCATTAGATATACTTGAATATCATCTAATTTCACCTCTTTGATTCAGTTAGAGAAAGGTTGCCTGAAATGGGGTTCAGAGTTTTTAATTTTTAGATTTAGAACAAGGAGAAAGATGGTTCCATACATCATGGATTTTCTTTTCCAAAACTTATAGTAGAAACAAAAGTGTTAATAGCAGCTTGGTTTTCTTACCCAAGTTTAAGGCATGTATCTGAGCTGCTGATGTTGTAGTTATGAGGAGGATCTCTAGAGCTCAGGCTGCTAATTGTTAGCTCCAACGAATGGTGATCGCAGCATTGATCATGTATACCCATTTGGCCAATAGATGTGTCCATCATCTAACACATAAGATTGATCAAACATTTGTTAATTCTGCAATGGATTAAAAAAAAGAAAAATCCCAAGAAAGATAGTCGGGAGAATTTGAGTGCTCTTACTGCCAACTGTCGTTTCAAGAATGCATTCTCTTCCAGCAGTTGAGCTTCCTGAATATCGTTTTTGGTTAAAACTATTCAGTTCGGATAGATTTGGCTTAACATATTTTCAAATTATCACTTAAACTTCAAGACAATTTGTTGATACTTTTATCAGTTACAACTGCAGTGTTTTTTCCATTCTCTACTCAAGTATGCTGTATTGAACAATATTCAAATTAAGTTCCGGTGATCACCGTATATGTATGTGATCCTTCAAAAATATATGTAAATGAAACTTTAAATTGGAATGACATAAAGGTTTAGCTCCATGACCTTTTTCTTTAGAGTGCTGATCTCTTTCAACATTCTTTCGCCCTGAAAATCGAGCACATTCAAACAAGGAAATGTAGAAATCCCAATGATAACAACGAACCAGCTGCTAATCTAAACAGGATGCCAACATGTATAGACACCTTACCTTTGTTTTAACTACTTCAACCAATCCAGATTCAATCACAGCCTCTAGCTTGTCTAGCCCTTGGAGGTCAAGTCCCTGAAGATCTTCTCCTTTCATTTGCCTGTCATAAGTGAGCATACACTGTTTTTAATAAATCAACTCAAACTTTCACACATTCAGAATTAATGGAAGAACAAGGGGAAAAAGCAGCATTTTGTACCTCAATTCTATGGATTTTTCTGCAAGTTCTTTGCTCAACATGGCAGACTTTCTACTTTCTGTCTAAGAAATGAACATTCATAAACTTGTAGAAATTTAACCATCATGTGAATAAGAACAAAAGTAGCAACATTGCATGAGAGCCAAGTTTATTTCCACCTTAAGTACAATTCTTATATTAATATTTGCATATGTGCTTACCATGTTGCAATATAAACAGAAAACAATGCATATACATCTCTCTTCTGTTTTCAAAATTTGGTCTGATTATGCATGTGGGCATTCAGGTTTTTAAGTTTTGGGTCCAATTACAAATTACAACAGATTAAACAAAAAGTGGAAATCTATATTGCAGTTAGATTGGATTAGATTGAATCTAAAAAATTTAATATCTAAAAATTGGATCGGACCATGATTGGATATCAAAATCCATTAAAACCGAACCGATCAAATTCAGTTAATTACCATCAAATACAAGGATGAAATGATATATTTTATGTAATATTTGTATTGGGTATTTTGGTGTACTAATTTTTTTCCTTATAATTTAATTTATGCTTTAAATTAGTCATGTCTTCAATCTACATAGATGTATGTTTATGTGTTGTGTTTTAAGTGAAATCAACTCTCTTCAGACCTCAGAGAAAAGCATGATGTTTCAAAAAACGTAGACATACGAAGTACAAAAAGTTCACGCCCTTGTTTATCTCTAAAGATAGGAACCTGGAGTTCTGCATGAAGAAGTAAAGCAGGGGCCGCAATAGCTGTCGAATCTTGTATGGATAATTGGTTAAGTTTTAGTTCAGAATATTGGATGAATTCAATTCGATCAAATACAAAAAACTAAGGGTGTTTAGAATACCCCATAATCCACACCGTAATGCACCAACATGTGTGGTTTAAAATTTTTACAGTACAGTTTGTAGTTTGTATTACAAATTACTACACTATGCGGTGCGTTTTGCTCGATTTTGACTTGCACATGGCAGTTCAATCCACATCACACCACAATTTTTTTTAATTATACATATATATAAATCTTTTAATAAATAATCACATATAAGAACATATTCAAATTGTTATTTATAATTATATACGTATAATAGAAGGGATCAATTTACGGTTTGGTTGGGCATCGATAGGACCATACCTAATCTATTTTTTTCAACGTTTCTGGGGCTTGATAACTTACCTATATCGGCCTCATAAACGAGTCGGGCTCGTCCACGAGGTTAATGAACCTATTTTTTTCACGTTTAATAAAAACAAAAATTTTATGAAATCATATTTACGTAAAATTATATATTCAAAGTACATATTTTTTCCAACTTAAAATAAAACATAACAACATAACAATATACACAATTTATAAAAAAGATAGTTTCGCTAAATTAAATTATGAAGTATGGACATTTCCTCTTTAAGGATTTATCAACCTTGAAAGTCCTTTTCATTCAATAACCAAACATCTCACTACCAAATATTTCAAAATCAATAATTGAAACGTACCATATGACATATTTAATATGGAATAATTTGGGAGATGATTGGAACCAGTAGGAGGAGTTGAGCACAAAGCCCGTTGGGTAGGCTTCTAAAGTTTTTTAATTAAAACGTAACAAAATATTAGTAATATTTAACATCTAATTAATTCTAAAAATATCAACGGTCCAACCTGCCAATTATTTATAATGATCCATTCATTTTTACAAGAATGGTGGTCCATACCCGCTTCCTAATAGGCTGAATTGAATGGGTGTAGCGTGTCGTACTGCCTATATGAACAACTCAGTATAATATATGGCCCAATAATTACAGTAATAAAACCCAACTTCCCAGACTCCATGGAAAGCTGCAATTTTGATTATATGTGATATGCATTGTTTTCTACGATGTTTGAACACTCATTTCTTCACTTTTAGTTATCTTACTAAAATTCGAATATTTTATTATTTTAGTTTCTCTTTCTTATTTTATGGAGCTAAGGTTGTAATTAATTTGTAATGAAGATATGAAGTGTTGATTTCATCTTTTAGGCAAGTTGTGTGTGTTGTATTTGTGTTACAATATTGGACAAACTACTTGGAGAACAAAGCATAAAACATGGAAATAAAGGGGAGGGGTACTAAAAACAACTTTTGATGAGATGAATCTCACATTTTCAAGGCCTTTTGCAGATTTGCAAGTTTTTGTACAACTTCTATCTTGATAGCATGTCTTATCTACTTTTTAGTTTGACTTTTTGGCTTAACTTTGTGCCAAGATTTTCTGAAGTGCTCTCTTCCCCCTTTCTCCTACTGTAGATATAGATGTTAGGGCTAAACTTGAGATTAGTTAAGTTTCATATTCCAGTAGTTTTAATTTTGTATCTCTTCCAAGTTCTTTCAATTTAAGTATTACTTTTGGCACTCACATGTAACACCCGCGATTTTGCGTATTCCATTTGGGATCAATTCATGGTCATTTGGCGTTTAAATTGGTAAGTTTATGAAGTTTTTATTTAATAATCTTTTTATGGTGTTTGAGGATCAAACCGAGAAAAAAAAAAGATAACTCTCACACAAAATTGAGTCTCTTCATGTGACCTGCCACACAATTTAGGTCGCAACATAAATTGTAATAAGAACCTCAAGTGACACGGACGACCTAAGTCGCAGGCAGGTCGCAAGACTGTGTCTGGACATTTTAAAGGTCTTATTTTTAAGGTTTGTGTTTGGAAGTTTGGATTGAGGATTTGGAAGAACTCCAGGGAAGAGTTCTAGTTTAGAGATCTCAAGTTTTTGAAGTGGTAAGTTTCTTGAACCTTTTAAGCTCTACTTTGAGATTCTTTGTAGATGTAAAGCTTACACTCATTTGTGGTTTATTTCCAAACATGAAGAAATGGTTGGTTTGGAAACTCTAGATCCTTGTTGGAAATGACTTGAAGATGGTGGAATCTTTATCAATGGAAGCTAGAGTTTGGGTTTTGAAATCTAGGTTTAACTTAAACTACCAAGGTGAGTTCAAGTAAATTTTGTGAAAACTTTGTACACGCCAAAAATGTTCATTTTGAATCTTGAATTGTTTTACTTGATATTTATCAGATGAGTTGTTTATTTGATGAATTTTGTATCTTTGATACATTTGATTTTAAAAAAATTTGTAAAATGCTTATATTTGGGGTTTTTGGACATTTTGATAAATAAAAATCATAATAGTATGTTCTTTTAATAATTTATTGTATAAATTGTAATTGTTTGATGATTAATATACTTTTAGTGCATTTGGTTCTTTAAACCGTTTGAAAAAAATGTATATTATTGTGTTTATGAGACATTTTGGAAATGTAAAATGTATGATTTCATTTGGAAAAGACTTGTCTTAACCAACGATGGGTTTTTAAGTTGATCATATTTTTTGGAGCATGTGTTTGTATAAACATAGGTTACATACGTTCTTATTACTTATGTTGACTTTTATTTGAGTAATCAAACAAGTGTGGAGTTATTGGCTTGATCTCGGCCATTTTACTTTTGGGGACATTTATCCAGTTTAAATTGCTCAATATTAAGTTTAGGCATGATTTACATTTATTTCATCTTTATTTGAAAATTATATGTTTTGAGTGTCTTGGTCATCAGTTGAATTCGTATAATTTAGATTGTAATGCATTGGATCCATAGGCATGTGAGTCAGCCTTTTTTGCTAAGTGAGGTTTTTGATGTTCCCATTTGGAGACCAATGCTAGAGTAAGCTACGTGGTCGTCTTGGTATTGTGGAGAGGAACTCTTATGAGTTGGTATCTGAGATCGTAGGTACAGCAGAGAGGAATCCGTGTAGAGTTAAACTATGGGATTTATGGTATTGTAGAGAGAGCTCATATGGGATCAGACTCCGAAACCATGGGTATTGTGGAAGTGACCTCTTGTTGATTCGGACTCTGAGACCCTAGATATTTCGGTAATGAACTCATCAGGAGTCGTGCAGGGGGACCTTTGTTTTGAGGCATTGGCATAGTAGAGTTGACATTAAGTCATCAGGGTTATTTTGGAAATATCGTCTTATTCACAATCTTCGAAGAATACGGCGTTGTATTATTGTAAGTTTAGGTAACATGGTAGGCATGAAAACAAGACTCTACTTCCATTAGAGGACTTATCCCAACAGACTTGCCTGATGAACTCGTATGGAGTCGAACCCTAGGACCATTGGCTTGTAGGTGTAACTTTTTGGTGTGTAAGTAAAGACTAAGGTCGGGGGTATTACGTAGATGAACTCATGTAACGTTGGGCTTTGGAACCTTAAGTATTATCGTGGAAACTTGAGAGAAGTTTGATACCGGGACCGTGACGGTGACCCTAGGGTGCTACTTGATAACATTGATGAATGACTTTGTGTTTCACCATGATCAATAAAAATTAGTATCCCGCATCACCCAAAGGTGTTGTTTTAGGTATTGAGTATTATCCATGTTTTCGGTAACGTTTTGAGTATGGAGTGTTATCCATCATTTGTGGTTTTGGGTATTGCTCAATAATGATGTTCTACCATCTCATTTGAGTTTATAGAGAAAACAAGATACTTCTTGACAATTTAATCACTTGGAAAAGTGTTAAAGTGTACTAGACTTATAAACAAGTCACCTAGAATACATTAATTTGAATGAATCGGGAAGTAGACTTGAAAGAGTCACTTTAAACAAAGAGATTTGTTGTTACATGCATGTAGTTTAAGGAAACAAAATATGTTTTACCTAAAGTTTCTGTTTTGCATAGAGATATGGAGACCTAAATGGTAGTGTTATTATGTTTTGTAAAGCCTCGAGAGGGTATCCTCAAAGTTGGTGGTAAAAACTATTATTTTAGAAGCATTGAGTTGTAGCAATTGCTGCAACAATTGTCTACTGAAAAATTGTGATTTTATCTCATCTGAAACTTACACCCTTGCTTCTTTTTATATGAAGTTAATCAGCAATAGCTGTTAACATCAACCAAAACAATTTCTTCAAATCTACCATATGAAGTTAGTCTTTCATCTAGAGATCTTGTAACTTAAGATATCTTTGTGGAATATGATATTTGGTCTTACCATTTTATTATTTGAAAGTCGATAGTGTTGATATCCTTGCATGAGTTACCACTTAGTATTGTACAGGTACAATATCTAGGACATCAATATGCCTTTAGTCTTTCTCGAACACAATCGTGAAACACAACATATGGCCACCACGACTATTGCCTTCTTGACTCCAGGTTCCTTCTCCCGTTACTTATCATTTCAAGTTTAAACCCTAAGCATAAATAATACAAGTATAATACAACTACACTTGTCGATTCAAGATTATTTCTCTCGTCACTTCCCACCAGGGGCGGATCTATTAGGAGTTGAGTGAGCTCTCGTGCACACACTCACTCGATTATCAATAGAAAAAAAAAATTAGCTGTCTAAAAAGTGCACCGATGTCAAAAGACTTTGAAACAAAATTTATGACAGAAATTAACATAAATTTTCATTTGAAAGACTTGAACCTGTAACCTTCAGTATCAGTATATAAGATGGTAATCAAATCGTCCCACCCATTGTTAATTTTAATTTTTTTTTTTTTAGACTACAAGGTTGGGCCAGAGCCTTTAGACATAGTTAAAATGAATGAACTCACAACCCCAAATACAATTATAAGCATTATACCACTATGTCAATAAAAAATTTTGTTAATTTTTCTCTCATTTTGATTTTATTATTAGATTTTCATGATCTATTTTTTTTCCCAATGTTAACTTATCTTAAATATGTCATTTTTATCTCATTTTCAAGGCAACATATATTTATTGGAAGGATCAATATCATTTTCATTTGTAAAAAATTGTATCTTATTCCATAAATCGACAAAATTGATTTTTTTCGTAAGTCAAATTTCACTGAATTTCTCCCCATGTCAAACCGTGATTTCGTGGGCCTTATACCCACAATAAGGATGCACATGGTTAAAGAAATTCCTAGGTCGACGCCACTTCTTCCCACTACTTTTGTCATGTAACTTGCTATTATGTGTAATTGGTTATAACAATTTTTATTTTAAAAATTATAACTTTTTATTGCAACTTTGCAACTTTTAATTGTATGAATTATGAATTTCTATTGTATGGATCTTGATGCAAGTTGCATTAGATACAACCAGCAAAAACGCATTGCACGGCACCATACTTTGTAATGCTACAAAATGTAACGCGGTTTAGGAAAATGTCCAACCCTCATATGTTGTGTTGTTTGCATGCGGGCATGGTGGAGTCACACCTCAAACACACCTACAACTAACCAATAGCAATATCCATTTGCTAGAATGGATCAAATCAAATAATCCATTGGATTGAATTGCATTGGTTATCCAATGTTATTGGATTGGATCAGTTTCGCCCAAATCCATAGGATAAGAACAGGCCTATCAAGAATTTTGTAATGTGTATTTGAGATCTTTGACATCAAGAAACAATAAAGTGGATTTTTTCCGTAAGATGATTTCAATTTTTTGAGTTTTTAAGTCCTAAAATTGATATATTGATTACATCTTAACAGGGTCTAATTTCCATTATTGTAAATTGTATCGAATACGTAGACTTCTGGTATTATAATGTATATTTTGTGCCCTATTATGAGTTCTTATTTCGATATTTAGGGTTTAAAATTCGAACAATTAACTCATGTAGAATTTAGATATTTACTGTTTAAATTTCAAAATTCATAACTATTATTTGTAGAACCTTCTCTTTTCTGATATGATTTCAGTATTGGTATAAAATTACAGTTTAATTTCGATTATCTGTGTAGAAAACTGTTCATCTGCAGAGGTAGAATCTTTTCTCCAGATATGATTTCAATTCTTTTTAATGCCAAAACCTAGCATTTAACTTTCAAATATATGCAGGAAATTTAGGGTCTAGTTACTAGTCGAATAGCTAAATCTGATCATATATTAATTTCACGGGTAAAAAATATGTTGAACAATATCTACCTGGAAAACATTCATTTTGTGAACGAATTGTTTTCTAAATCCACGAGTCCTGCCAAATCCATCAGGCCATTCACCAGCTTGGTTAAGGATCTCCTGGAGATTCGTAGGACAGAATCTAGGACTAGGATGGCTGGTGGGAGGGGGGTCAATGGCCAACTGTGGTGATTATCACACACAGTTATGTTAGTGGAGCCTGTTTAACATTATGCTTTTGTATTAAACGTTGTACATAGTTTAGTAAATTGTATGTTGTGAACAGTTTTAGTTCACTTATTGATATGTCTGTCTTCCTGTTTTATAGGTAATTAATGGTCAATGTAGTCGAATTGTGTACAAGTCATATATATTACACTTAGACCTTCTTTGAGTCCAAAGAAGAGAATGTTGATCTGGTCAGAAACTTGCAGGAAAGATGTTTAATACGATCACCATTGTCTAGACTTAACCACTATGCATGTGTATCTAGTTTATCCTTGATATCGAAATTATTTTGACTTCTGCTGTGTATAGTTGGATTCAGATTCATGGATTTGGGCATGGAATTCAAGTATAGGATTTTATTGATGATGATTTATGCTATTTCTCTTTAGGGTTTGGTTGCTCCAGGAAAGTTTTGGCAATCTTACTAGGGGCACTCTCCTGGCTTGCAAGTTGCAAGATGGGAACTAAATTGATAATCTTGAGTGTTGCTCTGATGCTTGGATATCAGTCGTTTATATTGCAATCTAAACAAAAAAGAAATGGACGAAGATCTCTCCAAACTCGAAGCTGCTAGAAGATTGGACATGAAAAAATCAGGATCCTCAGCTCCCTAAAATCCTTCCTGAATTACCAGGTGTGTGTGTATCAATTTTTATCTAGCTAGGTGAGGGTTTTAGTTCTTTTTTCAGGTGATGTTGAGGTTTAGTGGTCCGGGCCAGTTGGGGTAACAGTTCTCAGTTGCCGGGTATTTTATTTAGTCCATTGGTGTTGTCTTGTGGGTTGGGTATTTTATACGACTGTGTTGGTATATATAGTATTTTAGCCTTTCAGTTTCAATAAAATTTATGGTTTAAAAAAACCATTATAGCTAGGATTTCAATCATCTGACTCATTAAGCACCCACCCCTGGAGATTCGCTAGTTTTTTGTGGTGACAGTTACCGGGAGTATAGGGAAGGGCCGGCCAAGCAACAAAGAATAACCTCGCTAGGTCGTTAGGATTAAACATAAGTTAGGAATAAGCAACTTGTTGAGAAAGCTGATCAAGGAAAAAACCCCAACTACTATTTTAGCTGTATTTTTATTTTCTATACTAGCTAGCATACTTTTGGATGTTTTTCCAGTCATTGTTACCAACAGTCTAGAATAGTGAATAATGCATAAAATGACCATTCAAGAAATGCATACCTGCATCTCCCTAGATGGTTGTCGCAGTTCTCCAACGTTCTGGGATTGCAGCCTATGCCTTTCTAGCACTTGATTCATACTTTAATTCAAAAAATAGGGAGGCATGAATAAGTCAGATATCTTACTAGATGATATACTTGCACAATCTAATAGTAACTTGATGTCATATATATAAGCACCAAACTGATCAACTGATTTATTAATGAGTTTGATCATAACATAGAAATACCATATGCTCAGATTTCATCAGATTATCAAACAATATAATTAAATTAATCATGGAAGATGCTTAATTAGATGAATACTAACATATATATATATATATATATATATATATATCCAGCTATGAATTTATAAGGACAGGTTGAAGATAAATTAATTGTCTGTAATTTAAATCCATGATTGTAGAACAAAGAAGAGATCCAAACTTGTTGACTTATATATTAGAACCTAGGATAGTTTCTCATAGTACAAATCTGGTTACTTGATATAGTAGATTGTTTTCTGCTGATTATAATTAAGCAATAAGTTGATTTAGAAAATGAAGATTCTAGATCTATGGGTGTCAATATCAATGGTGGATGATTAGCATACCGGCATCAACGTAACTATGGAGAAAAGACACAACATTGATAGATTCAGGAAATTATGTAATGAAAATTACTATACTAATTGTTAAAACTACTTATACTCTGATTAATTGATGCTTAAAGATCTAGACTTTCCTACCCTTGATCTCTTTATTGTTCATGCGAGGACTACGGTTATGTTTCATCAATATTGTGACAACTTTGTATTTCTTTTTCTCTATAATATCTACAAACAACTAACCACAGATAAATTAAATAGGCCCATGATCTTAATTAGTAGCTGAAACCCTAACTTCAACATACATAATCTTGAAAAAATACATTAAAACTTAACAGTGATAAAGATCCAAAACTGATGAAAGTTTCTACTTAAAATGAGAGTTGAAACATTGCCCAAGAGACTTCATGTATTATAGATCTACAAGAACAAGTGAATCGCTCATATGTCACATATGCACACACACAAATGTACCTGAAGATCGAGATCTAATCTCTTATATAGCAACTGTATACCTGACCAAAGCACTTTTCCAGCTACCAGTGCTTTTGAACGTTCTCAGTAATAATGTCATGACTTGGTAATATCTCTCAATCTGTCCTTTTTTTTATCTTACTTTAATTTGATTAGAAATAATACCTGCTCTTTGAGAAACAGCTAATGGTAGTCATCTACAGTGTTCAGAGCTTGATATAATTGCATGCCCATATCTCATGTTTCTAAGTTTCTCAAAAGAATCATATATGGGGTAGAGAGAGCACCAAAGATGATATTCCATTTAATAGTTCTCGAAACAGACAACAAACGAAGAAAACTGATAAGGATTAGTTGCTAGATCTGCATATTGCTAAAACGATACGCTAACGACTGGGTAATCCATAAGGGTGTGTCTGTGTATATATATGTATATATATAGAGAGAGAGAGAGGCTAGAGAGACCTTGAGGAGGGATACTGAAAGAGCTTTCCAGTGGCAGAGAAAACGATGAGTGCGATATCCACGTCGCAAAGGGTAGACAACTCTTGAGCTTTCTTAAAAAGCCCTCTTCTCCTCTTTGAGAAGGTCACCTGCCTTGCTGCTAAGTTTTCTATCTTTCTGATCTGAGTTTTCTGTCTCACCATCCTCATCTAGTTATACAGCACCCTTCAAAATCAGAAACTTAATTAAGAAACACAAATAATATACCATAAAACCATTTCATTAGTTACCCAAAATTGGAAAACAAATCTAGATTGAAATCAGGAGTATAAGAGAAACCCTTTTGGAGAATGAAGAACTAATAGATTAGCCCTAGATAGCATACAGTAATGTCAAAAGCAGAAAGCATGCACCTTGTTAAAAGAAGAAAAATACTAAAAGAAGAAAAGAAAAGGCATATATTCAAATCCTTAACGAGTGGAGTAGTAATAGTATATAATTATGTAGTCTCTCCTTTCTAAATTAGTGCTCATTTTCCTTGTTTCTTGTACGTTTTGTTTCTTGTACGTTTTACCTTAAACTAATTTTATAGAAATCATCCTCTGATCAATTTTAAGTTAACATGAATATATAGAAACTCTCTTAATAATCAAAGGATATATTGCCCCTAAATAGAAAAAGTGGTTTTTAAGATATAATATAAATAAGCAAACAAACATGACTATATATTAAACAAAACTTTAAAGGGGGTCGAGAAACATAGGCTATTGGCTAGCCTTTCTTTAAGTTTACCTTTTACCGGATATTGGTGTTTGTGCTTTGTGATCATGAAGATCGATACCATCAGGACCACCATGCACCCACCACCAATAGCATCAAAGTATGGTGTACTGAGTCTTTGTGAAAGAGGCACGTTCAAGACCCCAAAATTTTGTGTTAAAAATTAATGTTATTTACACGGTGTCGTTCTCGGGATATATTGGTACAAGAGAAAAACAAAACAAGGGATGTGGGAGGTCGATTTTTCTAGGCAAGCAAGCATAGGATATGAAGTACTAACGTGATGCAAAACTCTCTGGTAAACGTCCCAAGTCAAATGTGGCCGTACAGGTTTTGCTGCTTTGCTTGGATTTCACAGTGCAAATATATGTTTTGCAGTGCGGCCGTACAGGTTTCGCTGCCTTGCTTGGATTTCACAGTGCAAATATATGTTTTGCAGTGCCCTATCGTACGGACAGGCATCTTTATTCACTTTGAATTTCCCTCTTGGTCTCTTTTTGTTTTAGAAAGTTACATACAAAGATGCTTTTTTTCTCTTTAATTTTCATACAAATTTTCTAAAGAATATGAACCATGCCCAAGCATTATGACACCTGTCTTCTGTCTTCTTGTACTGTTCATGCTCCCCTCCACTATCTCTCTTTAGAATCCATAAAAAAACTCAAGATGTTGTACCATTTGGAAACCCTAAATTGTATTGTAGGTGTTTTTGGGGGATAAAAACTTATAATTAATTGACTCATGCATCTAATTTACCATTCCTCATGGCATGGCTGTTAGTAATTTCCGGGATTAAGGGGATTCGAGATAAGCCTTGCACAATAAAGTGTTAGGATAATCATTATCTATTAATACAAGTTGGTATTATAATAGAACTCAAAGTCCTAGTTTTGTGGTTATCTACATACATGCGTCTAGTATATATAGATGTCTAGATATCGAGTTTATGGTATCGAGAGAGGGAACAATTGTAACAGAGTTTGAGTTATTTTCTTTGTTATAATAAGAGATATTCCTGCATTCTATTGTGTTCTTCTTTTACGTTTCTGTCGATTGCTTTCAATAATTGGTATCAGAGCCACGACGATCACGAAAACGGAAGGACATCGTAATCGTGAAGGACATGGGAGACACCAATCATGGCGGAAACAGGCGGGACAAAGGGAGGGTCATCCTTCTCGTTCCGTGTTCCGATGTTGAATACTACAAACTATACGGTGTCGGCAATTCGCATGAAGGTGATCTTAAACGTACATCAAGTCTGGGATGTTGTTGATCCAGGAGCGAATGACCCAAACAGAAACAATATTGCCATCGTCGTTATTTTCCAGGCAATTCTCGAAGACCTTATCTTACAAGTAGGTACGATGGATACGGCAAAAGAAATCTGGGAAGCCATTAAAACCCGACATCTTGGGGCAGACAGAGTAAGGGAGACTCGTCTACAAACCCTAATTACCGAGTTCGATAACTTGAAGATGAAGGAGACGGGCACTATTGACGAATACGCAAGTCACTTATAGGAATGGCAATGGGCCGGGTTCGGGCCGGGTATTGGTATCCCCGTCCCCGAAACCGATAGCTAAAACCGTCCCCGTAACCGTCCCGATCCCCGTCGGGGATCTTATCGGGGATCCCCATCGGGTCCCCGCGGTTTCCCCGATCCCCGTTGGGGAACCCGTTAAGGGTAAAAATTCTCTTTTTCATCGTTGGTTATAATCGAACCCGAAACCGATATGAAAAAAAATTACAATATGTTAATTTTCACAATTAAAAGTAAATTACAATTTTTTTAAAGATCTAAGTTTAAATGTCTCAAACATAATTGAACCAATTACAAACAATGTATTAGATTACAATATAAAACTAAACAAAAATTCGAACATCATACAACTAAAATCATGGTTTTTGACAAATAAACTAGACTTTTCGTGAGCTTTATTTGGGTTGTTGAGGTAAAGTGGATAATTTTTTTTTAAAAATTTTAATGTTACTTTTTTTAAAGATATATATATATATATATATACATATCGGGCCGGGCCGGGCCGGTGATCACCGTCCCCGTCCCCGTCCCCGTTAAAATCCCCGAATTCGTCCCCGATCCCCGTCCCGTCCCCGATAAAATGTCCCCGAACCCGGCCCGAAAGTTTCGGTTTTCGGTTTTCACCGTCGGTTTCGGGTTTTTTTGCCATCCCTAGTCACTTATCAGGATCGCGTCAAAATCCTCTTCCCTTGGAGAAACTTGACGAAAAGAAACTTGTCAAGAAATTCCTCACCAGTTTACCGAGAAGATTTATACACATAGTGGCATCGATTGAACAAATTCTTGACCTCAAGACTGTCGGATTCAAAGATGTTGTTGGACGATTAAAAGCGTGTGAGGAGCGCATCTGCGAAGATGAACCTGCCAATGATCAGAACAAATTAATGTTCCACAAGGCGGAATCTACCACTCGAAATTCAGAGCCAAGTAAGAGTGGACGAGGCCGCGGGTCAGAACGAGGTCGCGGAAGCCGCGATGATCACTCACAGCCTCAGCAAAATCGATCAGTACCTACGGTCAATCACTATCTCAAAATGTCACTTAGGCAACAAATGAAAAATGTTGCCTAAGAGGGGTTTATATGTTGCGTAAGGCTTAGGCAACAAACCCATGTTGCCTAAGCTGTGTTGCCTTCTCAATGTTGCATAAGAACCAAGACAACATATGCAAACAGAATATGTTGCCTAAGTGAGCTTCTTAGGCAACACACAAAAGGTTATGTTGCCTAAGTAAAAAACATATGTTGCGTCCAGTATCATCTTAAACAACATACTCTATCTTCATATGTTGCCTTAGATATCAGCTTAGACAACATACTCTATCTGAATATGTTGCCTAAGATATCAACTTAGACAACATACTCTATTTATATATGTTGCCTTTGAACTGTAATTAACATAATATAATATTTCTTTTAGGCAACATTTATATTGTTTAATTGTTGCCTAAGATTTTTGTGTACCATGATGCAATTTTTTTTTTCATGCACACTTTCTACAAATGAATCTCAAACAAGCAAACAAACAACCAAATGTTTTATACAAACAACTTTTATAACCGAACAAAATTAATAAGTTCAATCATTGAAAGATAATTTTTTCCTCAGTAAGTCTAAAAGTAAGTAACAAGTTCAATAACACAAAATTAAAAACTTAACCTAAAGCGTGAGAGGTCGGGGTTGTTGTGTTAGAGTTTGAATCACTAGCATCCARCATAGTCATCAACGATTGTATCATCTTTCTTTGCTCGACAGCTTCCTTTTTTGCCTCATGTTGTCCCTCTTTTAACAAGCGAATCTTCTCGTCACGCTCGGCAAGTTGGATGCGGCGACAATTGATACGTATATTTAGAGCAAGTGGCTCATTAATAGGTATACTCGTCTTTGATGACGCCGGTGTAGTTGGTGAGTCCAAAGACGGAAGGTGTAGCCTCTAACGATATCTCTACCGAATCACCCTCTAGGTGTGCCGTAGTCCGCCCCAAGACCGACGCCTTCGCTAAATTAAACGCTTGAGTTCTTTTTGGAGGTATATGGATCTACAAAAAACAATGTCTAACATGTTTAAGAATAATACTATTGTATACCAAACAGAAACAGAACAATACTATAGAACAATTTGTTTTGAACCTTGTTACGTAGTGTTTTACGGCATTTCCCATTGACATCGTTAATATGTTATCAATGGTAAGGAAAGGTTCTCATCCTATGGACCCACTATGCAAGGAACATATATGGATATACACACATAAAAAATACACATACACACACACATATATATATATATATTCTATACATGTAAGTTATATCATCATGAATCATTGTGTATATTAGCCCATAAAAGAAATTGAGAACATACCTATATCACGAAACTTTCAAGGGTGGAGAGTTTGTTCATAGCTGCAGCCATCTGACCCATGTAGTTAGCATGTTTGTAGGGGAGCTTAAAGCATCGGAAGCAATGGCGAGAGTAGATGGCTGGAGGTGTTGATTAAATAATATAGATACCTAAAAGGCAACTATTACTTCAAAAGTTACATTGAAAAGCCTGTAAAAAGAGCTTCCAAACAGTCTAGTAATGTTGAATCGGGTCTGGTTAATCATCTGAATTTACTGTTGTTCATCTACCACAAAGGTTATCAAAGATGAAAAAAAATTGGTTAATCTACCTTCATAGTAAATCCAAAGACCCCAGATACCCCTTATTTAATGTTTTGAATAAATTTTTGATTTAATCACATTGCAATATAGCAAAGGCTCTTACCTGTTTTAGTTAGAAAAAGAAAAAAGTGAATTCTCAAATTGACAATAATACCAATGGAAGAAAAAAAAAATTAAAAACATCATCTCGCTGAGTCCCTTTCCCCCTCAATCAGTTAGAACTTATAAAGCAATAGAACACAAATGTCTGTTCCAACCAATGACAACTCATTTTGTTCAGATACTAATAGTTGTAGTGGATCCACAAAATTCCACATTCACGCAATTAACTAGAGTGATTTGCTTTAAGAACCATTTGCCGATACTATAATTAAGGTTATGATGAATATTCATCAACA